GTGACAAATGCCATATACTCACCTAATTTTACAGGAGATCTGAGAAACATTGATTTGTTAAAGTTTTTCAAAAAATTTTACGAGAGCAGGCTGATTTTTTCCATAGCTGATTGGAGACTGTGTCGTGAGTATTGAGCCAAAAAATCACACTCGAAAGCCGAGGGGTCAACCACCAACCACCCAAAGGGAAAGCATCCAGGGGGAATGTGTGTATTTGGGAATACTTTGGTGAATTTTCAAGTATTACCAGTGTTCCTGAATATTTCCAAATTTTTCCCAATATTTCCCAAGTAGTTCTAAGTATTTCCCGATGGTTACTCTAGTTCAGAATGCGTCAGTTCTATTCCAGTTGTTTAAGTTTAATTTCAGAAAGTGTTATATGTAACTTCGTTGACCAGTCAGAAACAACTACTCCGAGAGCAAATACCCCTACCGGCGTTGATCTACACTGATTGGTCTGAGCTTTCGTTTGCAATGAAAATTGTTAGAAAGATTTTTTCAGGTAATGACCAACGTGAATACAGGGACACAACGGTTCCTGTTTGGGAATCGACCCACTGAGCAGTGGACCCAGACTTCCCGTGCCAATCCTTGACGCGTTTCGTCCTTGTTAGGACTCATCAGAAGGATATAGGCTGAAGCTCCCTGTCCAAGCAAAATTTAACTTCGTTACTTCGTTGACCAGTCAGTTGGTCATTACCTGAAAAAAAATTTCTAACAATTTTCATTGCCAACGAAAGCTCAGACCAATCAGTGTAGTTCAACGCCGGTAGGGGTATTTGCTCTCGGAGTAGTTGTTTCTGACTGGTCAACGAAGTTAAATTTTGCTTGGACAGGGAGCTTCAGCCTATGTCCTTCTGATGAGTCGTAACAAGGATGAAACGCGTCAAGGATTGGCACGGGAAGTCTGGGTCCACTGCTCAGTGGGTCAATTCCCAAACAGGGACCGTTGTGTCCCTGTATTCACGTTGGTCATTACCTTAAAAAATCTTTCTAACAGTGTTATATGTCTTTCAAATTTGTCATTTTGGTAATTTGTGTTTCAGTTTGGTCAGCTGTATTTCAGAAAAACTCATTTTTGTATTTCAGTTTGGTCACTTGTACTTCAGACAACGTCATTTGTGTTTCAGATTATTTATTTGTAGATCAGAAATTGTAAATTGTATTGCAGAATTCGTCAAATGTATTTCAGATGTTATCAGTGATCAATGTAGTGTATTAAATGAAATTTATAATGGGTCACCGAGTGGGTCACCTATACACTTAGCTGGCATGTTGATTTGGGAAAATCTGCGTAGCTATCTGCGCTCGGCGTTCAAATTGTCATGCGCGTAACATTACAGTATTTCTTATACTCCTAATAAAATAAATATCTATTATTGTCTGAAATACAACTAATGATTTCTGAACTACATGTGACAAATTCTAAAATATATTTCACGTTTTCTAAAATACAGTCAACTAATCTAAAATACAATTGACGCTTTCCGAAATACAATTTACTGTGTTAGGCCGGAATTACCTAACTCCTGAGCCTACTCCTTGATTCTCAATGCTTTATACCTTATTCTTGATTCATAAGAAGATAACAATGTCTTTTTGAATGAGGGCGTTCATCCGAATGCTTATTTTCTAATTCAACTTTTAAGAACCACATTGAAAAGTTCCCAACTTTTTTTACAAATTAAGGAATACAAATAGAAAAATGATGAGCAATTTTACATATAAAACGCGAATTTCTGGAATCACAAGACCGAACACTAGACATGAATCAATAGTTTTTCAGTTTACCTTTTACCAGACTGCTGCAAATTTGGAATTTGAGGATTAGGGCTCCGATAAGGGACCTCAAAAAAAACAAACAGAGAAGACAGATTAAAATTTAACAATTAAGAAATTGGATAAACTTTAAAAAAGTGATGGTTAAATTTTACAAATAATAACTTTGTGGCGCCTGACGTCATCTCGGCCGTGATAGCATACGAGGATTCTGATTGGTGTAATATTGACACATATGCTTCAACATATATATTCCCGTGTTTGCCCAGCTGTATTCCCATATATTTCCAAGTGTATTCTCCTTTTGCCCCTGTATTCCTAAATAATATAAATGTATTCCTATGTATTCTCAACTAGTCATAAGTATACCCATTGTATTCCTATGTTATTCCCTCCAAAATGTCGAGGGATTTCCAGATGTGGTGGACCCCTCGATTCCTGCCTTTCGCATACAAATTTCCCTTTGATGACCCTAAATTGTTGAACTTAACTAGCCCTTTTAATTTCGAACAACTCTTTTTCATTCTCCAGTGTTTTAATTGACAAAATCATGTTTTCATTAGTCTTTTTAAAATCAGCCAGTTCATTATTCAAGCACTGTATATTTTGCCTTGTCTCATTCTGTTCTATGATTTGCTTGTTATATAATTTGTTTTCAGCTTCCAGCGCTTTTATTGTTGTGATCATGTTGTTTATGTCTTCAAAATTTTCTAGTTTTATATTTAACTCTTAAATTGTTGTCAGCTTTATTTAGTTTAGCTGATCTAATAATTATTACTTCCTTGAGTGAATTTGTTTCTTCCTGGAGTAAGACTAATTTTAATCTATATTCGTTTTGTGTATTAACCATACTTTGTTCTTTGTCGAGGACTTCTTTGTCAAAAGACATTGAAGCTCTTTTTAGTCTTGCAATATAATCATCTTTATCCTTTATTTCTGCCTGAAGTTGTAGATTCCTGTTACTTAAAATAGTCAATTTTCCATTCATCTTTAGATTAGATTGTTCAAATACTTCCTGTCCTTTGATAATTTCTTGCTTAAGTTCATTCATCTTCGCTGAAAAAATATCACTGAGTTTTTTGTCATTGCTATCCTTCACAATACCCTCAGATGAGCAAAGTACTCTGTGGTTCCCAACATGCCTGTATTTCCTTCTGTCCATGCAGCTATTATGAAATATTCCAAAGCACACAATGCAGACATAGTTTTGAAGGTCCTTGCCTTTGCAGCAGGTGAATTTATTCGTTCCCGCCTTTGATGACATTTTAGGGATTTATGATACCCTTCGGCAACACTGCTTATTTTCTTTCAAGAAAGTAAAAGTTGTGTGTGCCCACGGGTCGAAAGTAAATGAAATTTTCAAAATTTATTGTATTTTTTGACTTTTACTTTCGGCCCACGGGTCGAAAGTTTACTTTCCTCCCGTGGGCCGAAAGTAAATGAAATTGTTAATATTGTATTTTTCTAGTTTTAATTCAAATAAAAATTTCAAAATTCGTATGATTGTAAATAAAATAGTATACATACCTCAGTGAAAACTTTCCACCTCGGTATGTAATATACTATTTTGCAATACATGTATTTTTCGACTATTTTCCTAGACTAATATATGTTAAAATTTTGATGATACCTGATAACCCTTTGTATATAGGTATAAAATTCGGCTTTCAACTTTGGGATAAAACTACTTTAATTTTAAAAGAACTGACACACCTGCACGTCTTAACGATTCATGAGAGAGCTTCTTAACCCAAAAAAAAATCTATAAGCTACAGGAACTTTAAAACTGGAAAAATTTAAGTCCATTGTAATTTTTTCTTTTATAGGTAAATCTTTTTTTTTATTTTTCACTCAATTTCTCACTTTTTCTGATTGTTTTGTCTGATTTTTTCCTGAATTTTTCGTTTATTTCAGGCTCTTGAATTTTGTTAATGTTTTCCTTTTCTAGGGTCTAGTTTATTCATCTTTAGCTGAACTTTCTGGTAACTATACTAGTCAAAACGAAATAAGGACCACTTTTAAAAACACGTTTATTTTTATTGAATTTTGAATGACCCTGGTAAAGTGTTTATTTCCATTCACAATATAAATTTTTTGTGCATACTTTATTTTTTTATCTATATTGTGAATCGAAATAATCACTCTACCAGGGTTATTCAAAATTTAATAAAAACCAAGGTGCTCTTGAAAGTGGTCCTTATTTTGTTTTGAGTAGTTTATATCTGCAGGATAAATTTACTGTTTTATAATTCTATTGGTTGGCGGATAACTGGCTGACCAATAGGATAACAGATTGCGTTTTTATCCGTCAGATTGCATACCTGACAGTTTATCAGAAAGTGAATAAACTGGCCCTAAATAAAAAAAAATCAAGAAGTTGCAAAATTAACAGTTTCAGGTTTCAGTGCAAATCCAATAGTTTGGCAGCTCCTTCGCTCCAAAGTCAAAGTATAATCATTTTCTCTAGCCATTTGAAAAATTTCAATTCGCAAAATTTCCATCCAATCCCTCAAACATTTTTCCTGCAGAAAAAAAAAAGTAAAGCACTTCTCAATGTGGTTTTTTGGAAATTTGATTTTTTCCAAAATAAGGTTCATATTCACACACATCTGCCTCACAACTTTGATGATTCCATAATAAGGCTCACATTGGGACCAATTAAATCCTCTACAAACCTCCGATCAATTAGTTTCAATGCAGCTTCAATAGTTTCACAGCTGTGAAACTTTAAAGTCATTTGACTTTAATTTTTATCAACCAGAAGGAAATTTTTATTTTTTCTTCCTTAAATATCATTCTTTATGTTATCCACTTGGTTAATTTTAAGCCAATCCCTCAAACATAAAAGAAAAATGAAACGCTCCTCACTTGGCTCCCCAACATCATTTTTTCAAATTTAAATTTTCACCAAATTGACATTGACGCACATTTTGGCCTACAACTTTGTTGATTTTGATGCGATCTTAACGTAATAAGGCTAAAATTAGGACCAACTAAATTCTGTACAAAAATCTAGTGAATAGTTTCAATGAAGCCTCAATAGCTGCAAAGCTTCAAAGTCTTGATTTTGCTTCCTTTCAAAATGAGCAAGCAGAAGGAAATATCCTCAGAAATTTATATTTTTTCAGGGCAATATTGTTGCTGTATTTATGCAAAAAAACCCGTTGAACAAACGGATAGAATGATATTTGAAAATTAATAGTTGATATTTTTTATTTTAGGTAGACAAAAAACAGCGACAGCAGCCAGTAGCAATGAGCCCCAACCGTCTCCCCAAGTCCAAGCCTTATTACAAGCACTGAAAGATGTGAAAAAAAAGAACGCCACTATCACAACGGAAATGTCCAAACTACGCCAAGAAAATGCCTCTATATGGGGCGAAATGAACTCGCTCCAACTAAAATATTCTAAACAATCCAAAATTATCAACAAACTCATCCATTTCCTAATCACGTACATGCAAAAGCAGCACGTCAGGCAACCCGGTCGGACTATGAGTACCAGTAATTCCAATAAGTACTTGAAGACTGGGCCCAAAATTATGGAGCTCGATTACCGGTACAGGAATAATCCTCACAAATTTTGGTCGGATTTCGATAGCGACAGGAATGATAGGCTTGTGGAACAAGAACCGGCCTATACTGTTGTGGAACCGTCTGAATCAATTCTTGAGAGTAAGTTTATTCAGGTTTTTTTGACATTAGACTAGATATTAATAGCTTACCCAGATAGGACAAAAATCAGATTTTAACAGTTTCCAATCTATATGCAACTACTACTCTAAAAGGTTTGAGTATATAGTATATTTTAGAAGTATTCACCAGTGTGCTGTGCTTCCATTAATTTTCACCAAAATTTCCATTTCAGATAATCCATCTCCTCAACAAGCAAATACTCCATCACCCCAGCCCAGAGTGGTCACAGGTATCGAAGAACTTCTACCAAATTCCAGTCCCTTCAACCAATCAGAACAGCCTCTACCGCAATTCGACCACAGCATACCATCGTCAAGCAAAACTCCAAATTCGGCCCTTCAAAGAACCAGAGGAAGCTCAGAAAACCTTGGCTACCTTATCGACAATTCTCGAGTGGAAATGAACAGCATCAAAGAGTTATTCAAAAGTTTAACACCCGAAGACATGTCAAACTTTTATAAATTGGTTAACGAGAACTACAAGAATCAGGAAGACGAGTTGAGCTTCGAAATTGACAATGAATTGCCTTCATTAGGACAGATAGACCCACCTCAAGAATCCTTGATGCCAATGCCAGAAGAACTTAGTGACATAAACAATATGCTTAATGCAGATGCTGTGGCAACGTCAATACAAACACAACATGTTGCTGCCCCGATACTGACACAAAATGTCGCTGCCCCAATACCGACACAACAAATGAGCCTTATGCAAGATCTTGATAATTTAGTTCAAGAATCAATCAAAACTAATAACAACAAAATGGATGCACCAAGTTTGGATATTTTGAGTGACGATTTGCTGACCGACGATTTGTTGAGCAATGTTTCGGTCGAGCAGTATTTCAATATAGATTGAAATTATTTAGGCAGGAGTAGATTTGTTTATATTTTTAAATTAATTGCCAGGCAGTTCTGATATTATGAAGGAAAGTTTTCACAGAGTAGGTTTTTTGTCCGTTTATCAGTTTACTGTTTTGACCTAAAAATGTATTTTGTGTTCTCTATAATAGGAATATGTCTTTTATTATTGGATGCTGTTCAGCGCTAATAAGAACAATTTAAGAAATTTCCTGAAAATTCAAAATATCTATGTCAGACTTTAGAGAGTGGCTCCATGTATAAATATATACCTAGATTCTGTATTAGGTAATTTCAAATTTTCAAAGCTTTACACCTTAACATAATTGTAAGAGTAATAAGTAAAATGTTTCTCATTAAAAAAGTTGATTGGCAAAATATTAAAGTGATTAAGAAAACTGTGATAATTTTGTGGTTAATTTTAAAAATTTCGGATATTTTTGTTTGATTTAAAAAAATATTCACTCTCTGTATAGGTACAGGGCGAATTAAAAAATCATTTACCTTATTGATGTTAAGCAGAGATTTACAGGTGAAGTTTCTACCTTAGTTGAAGAGACATTTGCTAGTTTCAATTTGTCTTTATTGCAACAGTACCCCTGTGGAATATTGAGGTAATTTCAAGATTATTTTAATTAAGTATTGTTCTATGGGGCTGAAATTACCTTGGGAAAAGTTCCTAAACATTTTCAAAATACAGGGCCTCACCCTGTATAATAAATTATTACAGTTTATGATCATTTAGTATTTTTTTTGGAAAATCATGGTGATTTAAGTGCTAATATTTCTTGACAGGAATAGGATAATAATCAATATAATTGTTTTATTTATCTTTGAACATTAATAATTATTGTAATCTCAATAAATAAAAATCTTACTCATATTTATTAAAGTTGTTCAATTATTATTGTTTTTGATATACATAATATTTATATTTCTACTAAAATATTATTGGTACATGTCGCCATAAGTATACAGAGTGTACCAATTTCAGGTAGGTATCCAAATGGACGTTTTCAATTTGCAAACTACTAATCAGTTGCTCGAAATTGCTAGATTTTAATTTGTATTAACTTTTTTTTTAATAAACCCTGCATTTATAATTTTTGTTTAATGTAAAAAACCTTTAGTTAGCATCTAATATTGTTTCTTTTTTTTTTGTGTGTGGAGGATTAGACTATTATTTTAATTATTTATGGTTTTAAATGTAATTCTGAAGTACTTTAGTTAATATATTGAGTTTGTTATACATACTAAAGTGTTTGTTTTATTGTGAGCGACTGAAGTGTGTTCTAAGTTCAATGGGCTTTTTCACTAATTTTTGAAATTGGATAAGGCAGCTAAAAATAGAATTTCATGCTTAAATTAAGTATTTAAGTTTTAGTAAAAAAGCTCTGAGTTAACCACTTTTGTAGTACCTATTTGAAAGATAACGAGTCAAAACCCTAAAGAAAAACTGTTATAGCACTCTGTATTTGTAACTTAACCTTAGCCAAGGCCAAGCATTTTGAAATGAATCACAGAAAATTAATGTAACTTAGTCAATCATTGACAGTTTTCAATTAAGTAACCTGTATAATGAATGAAGGCTTTCACGGCCGGTCAAATCTAGTAAAAAAGTTTTTTCCAGACTATAATGCCGTGGTCCATTAGTATTTCTACCTAACGTTTCGTCTACTGCTGCGGTAAACATCTTCAGAGGCGGTATGGTAGAGGGCGAAGTGTTCTCTTCCGTGTTTCTGCAGGGTTGTGGGCGTGGCTTGTATTACGCTATTTTCCTTGTTTCGTTCTCGGAAAGGAAGGGTCTTTGTTTTTCGAAGAACTGGCAACCAGCTTTTGTCGAGGTTCATGCCTTCTTCTTTTCTGTTGAAATTGTTGTGGTGTTTCTATATCTCTGTGGAGTCGGATGTAAAAATGTTTGGTTCTATCGAATGCTTGAGTCTGGTCGAATCGAATTACATGGTTTGTTTGTGTAAGCACGTGTTCGGCGATTGCTGATCTATCTTTTTATCCCTGCTGACAGTTTCTTTTGTGCTCTTTGACCCTGGTGTTGATAGAGCGTTTGGTTGTTCCTACATAGACAGATCCACAAGAGCAGGGAATTCTATAGACGCCAGCTGTTTCAAGAGGTACCCTAGCAACCTTAGCCGATCTTAGACTTTGCTGAATTGTTCGTGTGGGCTTATAGATGTGCTTAAAGTTGTGTCTTTCTAGCGTTCGTCCTATGCGATCTGTGACATTTTTGACATAGGGAAGAAAGGCTCTCCCTGCCACCTGTGCTGGTTCCTTGTTATTTGTGCGCTGTTGCTTCGGTCTTATGGCTTTATTTATCTCCTGCTTGGAGTACCCAATTCCTTCAAGTGCTGATTTTAGATGTTGCATCTTGTCCTGTGGGTTCACAAATCCGGATTGTCCTGTCAGATAGAATTTTATCTATTAGGTACGCTTACAGCGGGAACTCCTATAGAGCACTCAAGAAGAGCAGCCTATCAGGCTGGAAAAATCTGTCAATATAACCCAAGATATCCGAATATCACTTCAAATAAAGTCAGGAAAAAAAAAAACAATTTTGCAAAATTTCGGTTTCTTCCGGATATCTCCGGAAGTATTCGGAATATCCTAAATATCAAAGCGGCATTTTGTAAAGCATCAAATTACGCAACTTTGCCCCCATTTAACCAACCCTGTATATCTTACCGTTTCCGAGATCCCAATGATGTGGCTCGAATTTGAAACACCCTGTACATCGGGTCAAATCACTTAAAATGGCCTAAAAAACAACTATGCCAAATTTCATGCTTGTACCACAATTTGCCGTTTTTTTTTGCTTATCGCTAGGACTATAATGTTTTTTTTCTACAACTGTCAAAAAATGATGATGTTCGCACACTCATGACAGTTTGCGAAGTGACACTTTTTTTCCCAGGTATTGATTTTTTAACGTTCCCATGACGCCGTGCGTGAACTAGCGATTTCGCACACTAGTGCGTGTCATGGTGACACATACCTGTCAGGAAACCAAAAATAATTAAAATTCACCTACCTTTGATTGAAAATGCAATTTTGGCTTCGAATGATCGATATTTAAATGGAGTCGTAGAAAAAATATTGTTTGCAACTCGGGCGCGAAATACTTTGGTGATCTCGACTATTTTTTAACTCGGCTGCGCCTCCCTAAAAAAATCAGATCTCGATCACCAAAGTAGCATTTCGCGCACTACATAGATACAAAAATAACTATTCTAATACCTACCACAAAACCTGTTTTTTCAAAGGCTGAAACCTTTTTTTTTAAATTATATCCGGAGTTACCCCTGAATGAAGAAAACATCAGTTTTCTGCGGTTTTAAACCTCTGTCCGAAGTCACCCCACTTTATGGAGTGAGTTCGGACAGTCTTGATTTTTTTTTTTAAAAACGGGGGAAGATATGAAGCATTTGAGAGTCTCAAATGTTCCCTGGATGTTGAAGCTATGTTGAGCAAAAATTACAAAAAAATATCTATCTTGGTGTTGCAATGAAAACTATAGCAAAACGCGTCCGAAGTCACCCCCACCCTGTTTAACGGTACCTACTTTCGCGGACATCCAACCCACCCCAACCTTTCCCAATATCTTCCAAAGAGCCTCTCTATTACTCTATTGACCGAATGTTTATAGTATTATTATTATTTAACATAATAATATTTATATCTCCAATAAGATTAGTTTTATATTGATTTTCGTTTAGTTAATTTTTCTTTTATTATACACGGTGATTTATGTACGTAGTCCGTGCATTAGAAGTTTTCCAGGTTGCAGGTGGACTAGTAGAGATCGCATCTCATCCACCTGCAATCTTATGCATGGTGCACGGGCTACGTAAATTCACCCGTATTACAATTTCAAGAGATTCAATTTTTAATCAAGTAGATATTTGTGTTTTTATCTTGGATTCAATTTTTTCTCTACTAATATCTCAAACGGTAATAACTTATTGGAATGAAAATTTCCAGTTTCTTTTTTGATTTTTTTCTTGAGGCATAAGTACAATTGTAATTGTAATTTTCAAAATTATAATATTTTTTTCATACAATAACGATAAGAGCTTGATAACTGGAATTATTTGTTTTTCTGAGAAATCGACTTTCAAGAAACAAGTAGGTAACATGTATAACATAAAATCAAACTAAAATTTAATTCAAAAGTCAAAGATATACAGGGTGCGGCAATTTTTGAATTCAGAATTTACATACAAGTTAAAAATGTCAAATGACATCATAAAATATTGAAAACGGGAAAAGATAAGTGCTGCCGTTTGGCAGGGTTTTGACAGGTGTCAAAATGGTTGACATTTTTCGACTTGACTTGGTCGACTTAGTAGACATCGATACTTCGATCATCAAAATCTGCCATAGTCACTCTTCTTTAGGATATAAGATTCCAATATTTGACAGCTAACCACGCCTCACCTGTCATATATACAGAGTTGTGCCCATGGTAAAAAATGTTGCTTACGGCATCCCCAATGACATATTTAAATTTCATCCAAATATCACGGGTAACCAATTTCCATTTAAATATTGCGGGGTCTTTTCTAACAATGTCATGGGTTAGAATCTTTTACAGGACACGTTGCCAAGTTGAGTAGTGCAAATTTGAAAATTCATGATTTACAAAATGCACAAGCTTTCAAATAAGCCGATCGTGAATTTTCAGAATTCGTCGACGTACATATTTCGACCGACTGCGTCGCATGTGACAGATTTGCACGGATTTCAAATAAACCCCCCCTGGGTGAGAAATTTTTCGTGTCCCACCCTGTATAATAAATACTTTAAATTACTAAAAAAATTCCCACTGGAATAACTAAAATATAATATTGGTATATATAGGGTGTCCTTTAATACTAAAAATCATGCATGTACAAACGGAAGGGGGCGATTCTTTGGTTTTTTCTTATGACTAAATAAAATTTCAAAGAAACATGGGTTTGCAAACGCTTCGTTACCGACCTACAGGGTGTTGAAATTTCAATATATTTTTCAGTTTTTTCTTTATAGCTCCTGCGGCTTTCGAGGGATTAAGCCCAAATTTGATATATAGGTTACGCAATAGGAGCTTAATGATTGTACATTCCACAGAAAGATTGAACCATAAAGGTACCTTTTGCATTACCAGCTTTACCAGACAATTATTATTGCTTTTGAGAAAGATATATATATAACCCCTCTGAAGTACTGCCCCCCTAGAAGCAGTACCTCATGACAGACACAATCGAAAGCTTTTTTCAGGTCACAAAAAACTACCGCGGCCACTTCTTCGTCATTTATCTTCTAATATAGCTCATCCAGGAGATGAAATATGGCATCATCAGTGTTTTTTGACTGCTGAAACAGAGACAGAGAAAGCAATTTATGTCTATCAAGCAAGCTCACCTTCCATCTTAATTAGCCACTCTACAATTTTAGTCTAAGTTGCCAGTAAGGATATTGGCCGGTAATAAGATGGTAAATTCTTATCACCCCCCTATTAAACAAAGGTACTACCCAAGATTGCTTCAAAAATGAGGGAAAACTTCCGGTAAGAAAAGAATTAATAATGGAATCCGCGAACACATCAACAGCCTAACTGAGATATCGTCCCATCCAGAAGATTTTCTATTTTTGATACTCAGTTTCTGAGCAATCGTACAGTAGTATGAATTAATATTATCTGCTTTCAAATTGGAAGCACATATGTATATTTTTTTTTTTTTTTTTCGCGTAGGTCGTTACTCTTTTTGTTTATTGGATGCGGATGCCCAACCTCTCATTGTAATAAATCTTCCTTGCCTGTTTCTTGTCTTTCTGTAGATGCTCCTGTATCCATTATTTAAAGTAGGTAGCACAACACTGGACGGTGGAGTTGCAACAAATAAATATTTTCCCATTTTAAGGGTAGGTCCTGGGTGTCCAAGTGAAATGTAGGTAGAGCAATCTTGCCCAAACAATAGGGATTCCGTAATTGGGTAGAAACGGGCAAAAATTGAGACGCACACAATAGAAAATGAGTATTTGATTATGATCATTTATGACATAACCTAATGACGTTATGGTTTGTGTTTGTGTCAAATGTTTGTGTGCCTCTTGTCGGCCATATTTGTGTCACGTGTTGTGGATAGTCTAATACAAGGAGAATAAACTTTCTAAGGAGTGCTTATCGGCCCCTTTTTGGGTAATCGCCGCCATATTG